CAGGAGGTAACTGGGCAGATGGCAGAGAGTCTAGGTCAGAGATAAGAACTTGGTTTAGTATATAAAGATATGGTTGAAAACCTGTGTTCATGGATTCTCTATCACTGGTTTACTTCCGATTCAGGGACATGATCGCTTAAAAACATATATATTCTAATTTATTTTAGAACTATTATATAGACAGGTTATTCAACTCCTCTTTTAGCAAAAATAATTATATTCCTTTAACAATTTTTTTCTAGCCTAATCACTTAGAAAAATATACAAAAGGAGAATTAAGTTTAAGTTGTTGAAGAATGAAAAAAATCTGCAAAAATCATGTGTTATGATTTTTAACTCTTACTATCTTCATAATTATACAAGTAATACATGATTTTATCAGGATTATTTTCAGTAAAATCTCAGCTATTATATTATATTACATATGAAATAAAGAGTTATGAGTTGAACTGCAGCCTTTTCCTCCAGTTTGAAGGCTTTCCGAGTAATTGACATTTAGATAGTTATGCAATTTCAACTCAAGATATGCAGCAGCTTGGGATAAATTAGATTTTTGCTGGAGTTCGTATGAGTTGACTGCTGATTTAAAATGTTCCTAAGTGTGTTATATGTCAAGGATATCAAGATTGTTTATTGTATAGTTTGTATTTTCTGGAATGCACTGCACCAAAAAAAGTATGTGAGGCAAAGATCCCTGTAGGTGCTAGGTGACAAGCAAGCTACTTAAGCTGAAAGACATTAGACACTGCAACTTCTCTACATTGAGTGATCTGTACTTATTTAAGTTTGCATTCAGTGACTGAGACTTTAGAAGCTGTATCTGGGTATCCAAGGCCTCTGTCATGCTGCTGCTATGCATGCTGCTGCTGCTTTACAGTTTGGTATTCTTGCTTAAAGCTAAATGAAATTGAGTAATAAACTTAGATAAATAAACACTAGGTAAGCCTATTGCATCTTGTGAATTTGATGGTCATTCTGCATTTGAAATCTACAGTGGTCTTACTAAATGACCCTCATGCAGAAGGATGGGTGTGGAAGATCTTTTGAGCCTTTGGTGCTGGGACAGCTTAAACTAATCCTTGGTTTGAGAGAGAGGACGTTTTTTGAGGCAAATTATGGGGGACAAATCTTATCAATGGAATTTACACATATATCTTCAATCCTCTAGGATTTAGTAAAATGGGCTAATAAACAAAGGCAAACCAGAAAAAAGAAAAAGGCTAACAACATTGCCTGTCTATTATTAATACAATTAACAAAATGTAAATTCTATCAAAAGCACACACACACAAATAGATTAATGTAGAGGAGATGAAGCAAATATGTAAAATAGAAGATAAGTCATGAGATATTTTGTGAGATATATCCTTGGCATGTATTATTTTGACCTGGTGAACCAAAAGTCAACATACTCACTGTCCATAAGGTGAGAGGATGAGGTCAGGTAACCACAGAAACAAAAGCATGCTGTTAAATAATTGAGACATTTGGCCAGTAAATAAATTTTTGAAACCTGATGAGTTTTTGTTAGCCTGGAGACTCGGACCACATGAGAGAATCCATTGAGTCCAAATGAAGGGAATTATGTGGCTTGCTAAGGCTTTCAGTACATATTTCTCATTCCAAATTGTGATATACCATGGTTAAGGTAAAAATCTAACAAGCTTGTCCTGAAAATGAGCCCAAATCTTTCACTTAACGGTAAATGAAAGATCTCTGCCGAAATAGTAAAAATGTTCTAAATGCAAGTACCTTAAATTGTGTGTGGATATATCATAGAATCGCACAATGAAAATGCCTCTAATGTAAACTATATTAAATGCAGTTATAAAGATGGTTTATTATGGTTGGTACCCTTACATAATCTTCCTTGTAGGAGAAAAAAATGCAATTCAGACAGTAATGGCAAACAAGCTCCTATTCTCAGGTCTCAATGATGGAAGAAAGGTCTGTGTTTTTCAAAAGAAAAAGAATGACTAAAGATGATGTAGCCACATTATTTTGATGGTTAATGAAAGTAGGATGAAAAAAGAAATTAATTGGTGAAAATTCTATAAGAATTATTAATGACTGGGAGGTGAAAAACTCCTGGTAATTTGGGCAAGTGTACTTGCCTTGCTGAAATGATCCTGAGAAACTTGTTCTATTTACTCCTGATTGGGATATGTCAAAGGGTATAGGGAAAATAAAGTCAGTGAGCAAGTTGCAGAGGATACAACATTTGTTAAGGCAACAGTAGAATAAAAGAGGGTTGGAACCTGCTTGCAAAATTTCAGCAGGGAAATTCAAATATATATTATTGGTCTAAGGCAAATGGCTTTGGAGTAGTGAACAGAATTTTCTGGGATTACCAGAAACTGGGGAACAATACATAGTGATATTGGCAAAAGAGAGCAAAGTTACATGGCCAAAGATAAAACTTTGAAGATAATGTGATTCTGTAGTAATAGATACCACAATTATATTAAATTACAAATTGAAAAATGTGAAATAAGGACATCTTGTAGAAATGTTATCTCTATCCGAATGTTTTATCAGATTTGATACATTGTTAGCATTGAGGGCTTTGCTATTGCTTGCTAATTTCTAATCAGTTATTAGTTTAGTCTGCCTCCACCCATTTCTAATCTGACATACAAATGAGAACATTTAGAATTATGCAAACTCTCATATCCTTTGAGGACAACATTAAATTTCTTCTTTAAGAGATAGTAGAAATAGGAATGATAATCCCCATTGACTAATTATATAAAATTCCTGTCTGGTAATTAAGAAAAAAGATAGTTCGTGGAGGTTAACCATGACTACTGAGAACTAAATAAAATAGTTCTACTGATAGCCTTCTCTGTGCTAGGTATAGTGAAGGCTATTGAAGAAATACAGCAAACTAAAATTGACTGGTATGCTACTATAGAGTTGGACAAGGATTTGTTTTTATTCTAATTTCAGGAGAAAGTCAATAATTTTCTTTCATTTGGTAAAGCCTCTAATACATGTCTGAGATAGTTAACCACTCCAGTGTAGCCATACACCTTGGTTAGATAAGATATAGGTTTCATCCCTATAAAGAAGAAGCTGGTTCATTACATTGAAAATAACAGGATAATTATCTCTCAGAAGCAGAAGACATCTAGGAATTAAGAACTGTGGTGACACATATGACTAACCTAAAATGGCAGGCCTCATCCAATCCATAAATTCTGGGGGCATAAATTGAACTGGAACCACAATAGATAGTCCACAGATAGTATGGTATACATTACTGTCTTTACAGACCTACTAGGTAAGAAGAGAGTTATTTGCATATTGGTGGATGTATATATTGCATTTGAGCATTTTATTAAGATTTATATTGTTATTCAAAAGAAACCTAAATTTTTGTGGAGTCAGAAAAACATTTTTTTGAGAGACTTATAAGCTGAGCCTAAATAGTCTCTTTAAAACAGGATCATCCTAAGCACGAATGATTTCAAAAGTGTCTGCTATGCAGTTGCATGAAGATTGGAGTCTGGCAAACATCAACAGTACCACAGAATGACATCTATTGGGGATTTCGAACATGTAAATTACTTGATGTACAACAAGGAAGAGCCCTTTTGAAAGACAAGTGCAGGTCTGTTATTAGGCTCTGGTGGAAACAGTTTCTGCCATGAAAAGACAGCAGATAATTTTTAAAATTTGAGATAACCATTGTGTATGAACAATGCCAAAGGAGTGTTCCAAAAAAAAATGAGACAGGCCAATGCAGCTTGCTGATTAAATGAAGAGTATATATAGAAATACCCACTGGTGATGGCTCTGGGGATGTCTCATTGTTTTGCATTCATGACTAGGTTCTACCTCTGCCAAGTAGACTGAATATAGGACACCCCAAGGAGATGCTAGCTCCTAGTGCTGAATGGTTAGAGCCTTATGATTTTTCATCTGGTAAAGCAGAGTAAGCTACCTGGTTCATCAGCAGAAAATTCAGAATTGAAGGACAAGATGCATTTTGGTGATCTGTGGCCATTTACCTTGCAGATCAAGTTAAAAATCTTGGCTGAGGAATACAAGAGTAAATACATAAAATGTGCAGAACAAGAGTAATATATATGCCTCTTACCAGTCTTATGTGGTGGTTTGAAGTGAGTCCTGACTGTAATCGTTATATGCTGTACTTTGGGCTTTATT